CAACTGGTTCAGCTACTTTGGAAATCAGTATGGAGATTCCTCAGAAAAAATGGGAATAAACCTACCACAAGACCCAGCAACTCCACTCTTAGGCATATATCCAAAAGATGCCCATTCATACAACAAAGATGTCTGTGCCACTATGTTCATAGCAGCATTATTTGTAATAGCCAGAACTTGGAAGCAACCTAGATGTCCCTCACCCGAAGAGTGGATAGAGAAAATGTGGTACATCTACACAATGGAGTACTATTCAGCAGAAAAAAGTAATGGAATCATGAGATTCGCAGGCAAATGGATAACACTAGAAGAAACCATCCTGAGTGAGGTAACCCAGTCACAAAAAGAGAAACATGGCATGCACTCTCTCATATATGGATTTTAGACATAGATCTGGGGAGTGCCAGCCTACAATCCTATGGCCAGAGGGTCTGGGAAACAGAAACTTCATTTAGTGGCTGATCGAAGAAGAGGCAGACTCCCTTGGTTAAGTACTGAGCTGAACTCAAGAAAGCCAGTAACAGAGAGGGAGGACTGATGATCAAAGGGATTAAGACTGGGCTGGTTTAACCCCCAGAAACAGCTGACCAGACAAAGGTTAACTCTTAAATCCCAGGCATCAGCCTGGGAATCCAGCATGGGACTGATCAAGACCCCCTGAATCTGGGTGTCAGTGAGGAGGCCTAGGGAATCTATTGAGCCTTGGGCAGCAGATCAGTACCCATCCCAATTATACACACGGACTTTGGACTCCAATAGAACAATGTGAGGTGCACTCTCACCCTGAACTCTTGGGGAAGGGTCTAGGCCCTGACCTATATGAAATGACAGACTATGGACACCCCCATGGAGGGCCTCACCCTCCCTGGGGGAATGAGGGGATAACGGGGGGGGGTTTGGGGGGAGGGCACGGGAGGAGGGGAGGAAATGGGAGGGGGACCTGGAACTGACTTGTGAAGCAACCTCGTTTCTTATCTAAATTTATACTGGAAAATAAAATATATAAAAAAAGAAAACTAACGATAAAAAATAAAAAGGGTTTATAAAAAAATAATAATATAGCAAGCTATAACTCCAGAACAAAGAGGACCCTGAGAGATATGCATGGTACCCCAGAGATGTAGAATGGGACAGGATCTCTTGAGAGGATTGGGAACATGGGGAGAGGGAGCAGGGAGAAAGAGAGATGGAGAAGAGGAGTAGAGATGAGGACATGGAGAAGCAGGAAGGTTGAGTCAGGGGCAGACTAGAAGAAAGCGCGATGAGAGATATCGTAATAGAGGGAGTCATTATGGGTTTGAGGAGAGATCTCGCACTAGGGAGAAGAGGAGGGGAGAGGAGGACATGAAGGAGCAGGAAGATTGAGTTGGGGAAAGAACAGAAGAGAGCATGAAAAGAGATACCATAATAGAGGGAGCCATTATAGTTTTAAAGAGAAATATGGCACTAGGGAAATGTCCAGAGATCTACAATGATAACACCAACTAGCAATCTAAGCAATAGTAGAGAGGCTACCTTAAATGTCCTTCCCTGATAAAGAGATTGATGACTACCTTATATGCCATCCTAGACCTGATGGAAGCAGAAGACACCCATAGCCAAAACGGAACTGAACTCCTGGAATTCAGTTGCAAAGAAGGAGGAGTGACGAGCAAAAGGGTTAAGACCAGGCTGGTGAAACCCACCGAAACAGCTGACTTGAACAAGGGGGAGCTCATGGACCCCAGACTAATTGCTGAAAGATCAGCATGGAACTTATACAGACCCCCTAAATTTGGGTGCCGGTTAGTTGGCCTTGACAATCTATGGGGCCACAGGTAGTATATCAGTATTTATCCCTGGCATATGAATGAGCTTTAGGAGCCCATTCCACATGGAGGGATGCTCTCTCAGCCTAGATACATGGGGGAGGGCCGAGGGCCTGCCCTGGATGATATGACAGACTTTGGAGATCCCCCATGAAGGGCCTCACATATCAATTTTAACGGGAGTAATGTTACTGCAAGTTTCACATGAATTCTAGTGGAACTATTTCATATTATATTTCTTTATTATCATTCCTTTGTCCAGGTCATAATATAGATATTCTTAAAATTTGTTGACTTGTGTGAGGGATTTACATGTGTACCATAACACACAGATGGAGATCAGAGAATGACCAGAATTGTGTTATAGTGTTAAAACTTTATTTATAGGACACAATCATTGTATATTGATATACCAAAGGTACACATATATATATATATGCATATATATATGAAATGTTTAAAGATTTATTTACTTTTAATATATTGTGAAAGTAGAAAGGGAGCATAAGAAGTATTAGCATATAACTCTGCTAAATTATTGTGTAAAACTATTTTAATTTTTGTACAAACTTTCAAAAATTACTTAAATACCTCTTAATATTCCTAAATGTGATTTTTACAGATTTGACCACAACAAAATGGCTTTTCTTCTCTATGGGTCCAAATGCTTTTAAAAATCCAGTACTCTTTCATGGCTATTGTATAAAAACTGCAAGAAAAAAAATCTTTTGTTGAGTTCCAGGAAAGTCACAAACAGCGGTGGAATCTAGAGTGAGGCTGGAGTGGAGGTCCATGTGTAATGCCTCCGTCAGCAAAGACTTTAGGATAAGAGGGTTTATAATAGATATTCACATCTGCTGCTTTGGACAATCTAATCCATCCTAAGAGTGTTTGCTGTGTCAGGTTTTGTTCTAGATAAAGAAGCTCAGTGGTTATAAAGATTTGCAAATAGGCCATTATTTATCATGCTTCACTTCCTTTTAAAACTGCTCTCTGTTTCAGAGGCAGCAATGACTATTTGAGGGTGATAGGTGATCAGATATTTCACCATGATTCTCATGGAGGTAGCACTGTTGAATCCTTACTCTGAAATGGACAAACTCCCTTCCAGGATATATCACCTACTAAAATTCTGTCTAGAGGCATGACTGACACAGTGTCATCTGGATGTGGAAGCATGATGATTACAAGTCTGGGCTGCACTTTTGATGTATTTGTGTTTGAATGTTAGCTTCTTTCATACATGAGGATAACTTTTTTGTCTTCCCAAGCCTCTTTCTTCATCTGTTTGATGGAATTACTGCTATTTCTTCTATCCTTGGATCCTTGTAACAATTGCACAGAATGATTCCTATCCAGTACTCAGTGTGGTACCAGCATGTTGAAAGAGTTTAATAAGTTTTAAATACTATTGTTGGGATGATAATATGACTTCTAAGTATAATTAGATAACTCAATGGTTAATACTTATGTCTAAGCTCAGGTGAGCATATTCTTCCAACTTTACCTGCCTCCACATGCCCAGATAATTTCCTACTGGGATTTATCAATAAAACTATTAATTAAAATTAGATTATTTTAATCTTTGTTATAATGTTATAAAAATTTCAAAGATTTCCCACACTATATTTGGGTTACCTGATACATGTTAATTTGCAAGAACTTTGAAATTTAAGTTAAATTAAATATCATGTCATTCTGAGGTAAGAGATATTAGCTTTTTCATTTCAACTCCAAAAAGTATGAAACTATAAATATTCCTACTGTTATAGTTTTACACATAGCTTCATCAGAATTATAATAAAGTATTTAAAGCTGGTAAATACATTTTAAATTTTCTAGAATAAATATATAAAGATATATCTATGCAATGCATGTGTTCTATAACCTACTTAGGTAACTATTGCTTTAAAATATTTTAATATATTCATTTGAAGATTAAGTTGCCCTCTTCAGTTACTCTCAATCTCCTTTCAAAATGATCTGCCAATCACAAATATAAGAATGATGGGGCATGTAATGACCTCTGAATGTTAAGCAAATAGAGCTACATGCTTTTATTCTAATTGTATCTTAATTGTGGCTCAAATTCTTTTTATAGATAGGATTTAGTTCATATTTAACGAAAGTCTAACATAAAAATGAGTCTGTTGAATCACAGTCAAAACAAGATGAAATATTGTATCGTTTACATACTGAGACTGCTTGAGCTAAATCTCTCTCTGTCTCCTTGTTTTGCAGGTCGAGTTTTAGCACAGGCGAGCGCCAACGGGGTAATCCATTTGCTGGATCTTAAATCTGGGCAAATTCACAAACTGGTGGGCCACGAGTCTGAGGCGCACACTGTGGTGTTCTCCCACGACGGGAACAATCTGTACTCGGGAGGTTCTGATGGCACCGTTCGATTGTGGTTCTGATCAGCAAGAGCACACCCTGCTGCAGAGGGCTTTCCCTCAAGGCTTAAAAATGTTTCACATAGTCTGCTCCCAAGCCAGCAAGCACCTGGTTAAAACAACCAATAAACAACATATTTGTTTAAAACAAGCTTTGGGTGAATATTATATGGTTCAAACTGTTACAAATAAAAATTTTAACTTTTTACTCATTTATCTGTCTGGTTTCTCTCCCCCTTCCCCTCCCATTTTCTCTTTTTGTCTCTTTCGCATTTGGTTATGAATTTAGAGACAGGGCATCTTTGCTAGGAGGTTGGAAGAAACAGCTTTACAATGACGCCTAATGACAGAGTAGATGAATTACAAGACATTGATTTTTTTACCGTTAGAGAACAAACTGCAGGAAAACGCGGCTACTTTTTTTTTTTAATCAAACCCGAGCTGCAGAAGACCCAAAGTTGAATTATGCATAGCACAAGGAAAATCTTTCTATAACCAGAGGGTCAAATAGAGTCGGCAAGCATACGTTTTCACAGATTCTTTGACAATGAGTGTGCTTTATCTATTAGTAATAACGAAGGACTGCAGATGGCTTAAATCTAAATGCAAGTCCCTGGAACTTTCATCTCTGCAGCCCATCCAAGAATGCATTAGGCGAAATTACATCTTTCTAATTTTTATTGTGATTTAAATGCAAATAAGTGTCTCGCACGTAGAAATCCCCCCCCCTCCCCATTCTCGCATCCCCTGTATCAAGTGACTGCTTAGACAACACTCTAGCCTGGTCCGCGGAAGCAGCTGGGGCTTCAACCAAGCTGGGCACAGAAACCAGTTGTTGGCGCTGTCCGTGGTGCTGAGGAATTCCCGGCTGCCGGCAGGATGAGCTCCGAATCAGCAGTCTGCAAACTGCTCCCACGGATGCCAAACCCCAGCTAAAGTTGCACCTTTGTTTCACGTCCACAGTTAGAATCTTCTGGTGTCTGAGGAGAGATTCAGTCAACATATTGTGGACGATGCTGATGGTTCTGCTGGTGGAGTGGGCTTTAAGCTTCAGTATGCTGTTTCTGTTTGTGATCCTCAGAGCCTAGCCAAGTCACCTCTACTGCCGTAGCAAACACTGTGTAAGTGAACCCATGTGTGGAGGAGGCGTACGCAGCCAGGAAATTTCATAGAAGGATCTAAGAAAATGCTAAAAATAAGTTCAACATGATTCTGCTACCGGGGTCCGGATTTCCACAGGACCAGCATTGCTTCTTGCTTTGAATTCTGAAGACAGGTCCAAAGCATATTTCTTATGTGTGTCTGCTGTGTTTCTCTCTGGAAGGGTGGGAGACTGCTTCTTGGCTGTGTTTTGAAATGGGAGGTAAAGAGGATGGATTGCCTTTAATTCATGCCTGAAAATGCATCCTTTGGGTGACTAAAGAGGACTGGCTTTCCTAAGACATACCTGACCTTTAAGTTCAGATTGGTCTGTGACCCCCAGCACCACCATTAACCCCAGAGTGACTAGGTAAGTGAATCTTATGACATGAGTTGTATTTGCTTTCTCAAAGAAATAGATGCAGTCATTTTAAATCATATGTAGCAATACAGGGAGGGGGGAAAGTTTAGCTGGGAAGTGATCCTCAGTTTAGCAGTGTTGCATTCCTATTTAAAATCTTCAGATAATGGTGTCATTTGTTTTCTATACCCTCCCTCGTTTTAAACAGTATATTAAATGGTACTAAAGCATATTTATTACACCGAAGGTTCTTTAAAAATAGCCTAAGAACTTTGTTTCATTAAAAAGGTATGTGTTTCTCACAATAAAACCATGCTTAATGCTAATATGAAGCAGGCACCGCACCCCTGTTTTTATCTTTAAGTTCACCTTGCACATTAATGCCTACCTGTGGCTTACAAAACGATCATTTTCTGTCTGGGTCATTTTAAAGCAGAATCCTGTGTGTATTTCACATGGTTTTTCTTGCACGGATTGATAGACACTGCCGGATACTGCGAAGAGGCACAGTAGCTTCCTTGTCTTGCAAGATAAACTTTCTACATATGTTAGAGGTGCATAAATGTATACTTTCATTAGTAAAAGATTTATATATGCTTTTCCAGAAGCATCTACTATGTTTGTGGCCTCTGTAGTCATTTAGACGAAAAGAAATGCTTTGTCAAAGGGAGCTCCCAGCTTCTCAAGTAGAATTATAGGTTTGCATTTTCTTGTTCTGTCATGACTCATTATTTTTGACATATTTTAAGAGAAATCCATCTCCTTTATCATTACCCCAAAGGAATTCACCCAAAAGGAATTCTAATATCAGAGACTATTGAAGGAATACTAATATCAACCTTCTCTGAAAAGAGAATGTGAATACATTGCCTTCCATTTTACTATTACTAGAATTTGCATATCTAACTTAAAATGCAAATACGTTCTAAGAGTTTATGAAGTTTCCTAGCATCATCTTCATCATATTTAAAATTATCATAATTATGTGCTAGCATGAAAATAAGTAGTTTATCACTGTTTTTAATATAGTTTAGAAATAAACAACAAATGAAACTTATATATCTTAAAATGTCCTACAGACAATCTTAGTGATATTGGCATGAAGCCAACAACATTTGAATAGATAAATGAAATATATTAAATTAATTTTCCTCATCTATGACTCACAGAAATTATAGTTTAACCAGAAACCATAAGGTATATACTCTAAATAGCCAAAGGAGATCTCACTACCTACATTTAATACCAAATACTTAACACCCTGTAAGTCTATAACAGTTATTACCTAGGTAATAGTGTAGATAGTCTGTGAATATCAATGCTTCATTATTATCTTAAGAAACTTCCACAGGATTTTTTCTGGCATCTTTGCACAAATTATCTAAATTCAAATATCTTGGTCATTTCCAATAAAATGTGAATGGCAATTATGTCATATGGAAATAATCAACTTCAAATAACATCACATGACCATTAGATCTTGGCTGCCATAAAAATTTATAGCTATGTCTTTCCTGCCCACTAGGAGCTTATCTCCAGCATAAAAATAAAGATGTGGACAATAGTATAAATGACTTTGTTTTTTAAGAATTCCATTTCAATAAATTAAATTTTCTTGTAATACTTAATTTATATATGTATTCTCTTATTCACCATGATTTGTTATGCTATTTCTCATATTCTGTGTTTTCCAAAAATCCAGATTATGGATATGGGAAAGAAAGCCTTTACACTGTATCCATCTCATTTAAACTTGCATCCAACTGTTTTATTTTTGGGGGGTTCTCTTGCTTTTAGAATTTAATGCTTCACCTTAAACTCTTGTTTCTATCCAGAATATTGTAGCATCTGCATTCTATTACTGACTCACCCGGTTTAAAGAAAAATATGGATGCGGTTTGAAATAGCCTTTAACTATGAACTTAAAATCACTTTTTAAGCTTCAACAAAACTGCTTCTTACAATGTGACAGACCATTGAAACTCAAAAGAAAATTATAAGCTTAAGGTGCCTAAGTAAAATAACTTCAGAAATTGCCTTTATATATTACCAAAATCCACTATTCAAACTTTACAGTAGAGACAGTTGGATGAACATTGTTTAATTGAAGTGCCAGTGTCTTCCAAAATTGAACCCATATAAACAATTTAAGAGCATGGACTAAGTGCATCTTTACTCTTTATATATGTCAAATTATCTTTTAAATATTTATTTTCAGCCCACCCCTCTTGCATTCCCATGGAAGGAGCTGAGTGTATTTAATATTAGGAGAACATCCAGAAGCCTGTGAGGAGGGGGATGGCTCTTCATATTCATGAAGCTTGCATACTTCTATTGGTCATCCCTGGATTGGTCACCTCTGCTGCCATCAGTCACGAAGACTATCCTGCTGATGAAGGTGACCAGGCTTCCAGTAATGACAATCTGATCTTTGATGACTATCGAGGGAAAGGGTGTGTGGATGACAGCGGCTTTGTGTACAAGTTGGGAGAACGGTTTTTCCCGGGGCATTCCAACTGTCCATGTGTCTGTGCTCTAGATGGACCTGTTTGTGACCAGCCAGAATGCCCTAAAATTCATCCGAAATGTACAAAAGTGGAACACAATGGATGCTGTCCAGAATGTAAAGAAGTGAAAAACTTTTGTGAATATCATGGAAAAAATTACAAAATCTTGGAGGAATTTAAGGTATGACTTACCCTCCATATTTATTGAATTCTAATTTTTTACTGCATTAAAGTCAAAGCTAGAAAACACATCAAAATATGACTCTAGGTAGCATGAGTAGTACCGTGGTTGGCAGAGGATCAGTTAGTTCATCGCTTAGTAGCTCATAGTAATCACTTTGTTCAGACGTCTTCAGCTCACATTTAATATCTTTTCATTTTTAAGCCTTAAAAACACTTCATCTGTGCTTTTACACAATGTGTTTTTGGAGGGAGATTGTTTGGAAGATATGCCTGTTAAATTAATTTTCATATTCTGTGGTTTATTCGTCTGTATTTAGAGCCATTTACCAATGGCCTTGACATATTTGTTTGTCATGTAGAAATGTACATGATATAGAAAAGCACTCTAGAACTGTGATCTCTACTTTAAGAAAATGCATTGGGCCTACTTGTTATAGAGCAGGGCTCTGGATTAGCTCTCAGCCTGTGAGATGTTTTTCTTACAAGACTTCCTAGAGACCTGATTTATTTTATTATGGCCTTCAAAAAGGAAGTTAACTTCTCAGTGACATATTCATTTTCCTTTCACCTTTGTGTCTCACTTTAAATAACAAATAATGTGGAGTTTGTTTTTATTTATTCTTGAGTTCTCATTTCTCTGATGGCTAATTTTAATTAGAATGTCCTACAAGCCACATATGAGTTCTGGGGGCATGAATCAAGAATATCTTAGCTAGTTGTAGTGACAGTTTGTGTCTTTTCATGTTGAAAGCTCATTATTAAAGGTTCTAATTTTATCAATATCCTGTGACATGGTCCTTATGGTGTTTTGGGTAAAAGAAGTCATAGTTAGCCATAAGTATGTTTGTTTATTTTTGAAAAAAGAATGTTAAGTTTTTAGAACAATGTAAAATGGTGCCAGGAGTCAGCATATGGCAGAAAGATTTGAGCTGATCATCATTAGGGCTTTTGGTGTATGGCTGTATTCAGTTCATTCTGGGCCATAAGTTCTAACTCACTTTATTTTATAAAGGAAGGCCTGACTTTTTTCACTACATTCTTTTGACTACAAAAATGATTAATTATATCAACTTTGTTTGATGGAACTGTCACTGTTATTCTGGACTTTTTCGTGTATTATAAAATCATGTCATGAAATATTAAGAAGTAAAAGTTACCGAGTTTAGTCAAGCTACTCTAATAGCAAATAACAGTCAAGAGCATACTTTCAAACTAATGGCAATATAGTCTTTAAAACATTATATACATTATGTCATTAGCCCTTTTTATTTTCAGGTAGTTAAAATAAATATCGTATTAAACATAATCTGAAGAAAATATAATGAACAACATATTATGAACAAACTCAATGACAATCCCTTCTAATATGCACCTAAAATTAGAGTAAAATTTCAAGAAAGTATATCTAACCCCAAAACACAGGAGAAACAGTTTTGACAGATAAAATTTGGCAATTGGTACTTAATATATAAAAGAACAGATAGTCTGGTTTATGAATTTAGGCAGCTTATCCTTAAAATACTGTAGTTTTCCCTCTACTTACCAGATTTGTTTACCTAAACAAAAATATAACTTTGAGAAGTAGGGAGAATCTGCACTGGTTAGAAGCATTGGCTGCCCTTCCAGAGGACCTGAGTTTGATGCTCTGCACCACATCGCAGCTCACAACCATCTATACTTCCAATCTCAGGAAATCTGATACCTTCTTCTGGCCTGCCCAGGTACCAGACATGTGTGTGATATATAGACAAACATGGAGGTCAAACACACATACATAAAAACAAGCAAAAATTTTAAAAACTACCTGAGTTACCATCTCAAGCAACACAAAAACATATGAACAAAACCTTGATTATTTTTGTGTTCCTAGTTATACATCCACCATAGGATAATTCTTCATGTAACTTCCGTTAATAACAAAGCACTTACTTGTATATATCTGTGCCAAAGATTATTAAATGTATTTTTAAAAACAGATTCCATTTTTTCACAAATACATGAGCACAAAAATTCTGTAGATACTATCTAGGAAAAAATATTAGAATGAAGAACTAAGACCAAGAAAGTTTAAGTTACCCCTCACCCAAAAGTCATCCATTTACTTAACTTGCTTTGTAACACTGTTTTCTAGCAATTATATCTATTCAATTCTCAGAGCACTTTTATGTCAAGGTCAGAAACAGTTGAATTTGAAGCCCAAATTCCTCAGTGGAATGTAAGATCTGAGCTACAGTATTAAGACTATAAAATAGCCATTTTAATAATTAGTTCCCTTGAAAATATTTAATGAACTATTAGGCCTAGAACAACCAGAACATTTAGGAGTTAAATAAATTGATGTTCTCTAGTCTCTCTCATTCTCAAATTCAGGGATTTACTCTATTTTTGAAATCCTTCTAATTCTTCATCTGTATTTTTATAATTGAAATTTAACTTTAAAATCATTTCAAATGAAGGAATGTTGTTAATACTGTACTTGTCCATATGAACCGTATAACTAAGGAAACACTAGCCATAGCCTTCCATCTTCATTTGCTCCCAACTTAGCAGCCAAGAACAAACAACTAATGTTTAAAGATTTGTAGAACTTCTTATAATGCTGATGATATATCACCAAGGAGGTTGTAACATGAGATATTCTTTACAATAATATATTCATCCAGTGAGCGTTTGTTGTACCATTTGATATTCAAGATACTATAGAGTCACTCGTTCTGGAAATCAAGGTATGTAGAAGTTAATGTGCTCCCAAGAAAGGCATGATTGATGAACAGCTTAAATGAAAAGAAAAGCAGTCAAAATTGAGTTGATGAACCTAAGTCTGGTGGCACAGACTTGTAATCTCAGAATTTGCAAATCGGAGGCAGGAGGATCATAGAATCATGAGGCCAGTCTCAGCTACACAGCAGGAACCCAGGCCCCAAAGTAGAAATAGAGTTTCATTTATGACTATACAGTCCCATATCTGCCCAAGTTTTATGGTGTGAAAGCTTATCAATATAGGATGAGGCTTGGAAAATATTTTTTTCTTCATGATGGTCAGTGTTGAGGTTGTCTTTTAAAAAGTGACTGCAGTTGATCTGGGAAGATCAAACTTCCTAACAAGAAACCCCTGGAGCAAAGTAGAGACTGGGAAGAGCAGGGTTTGAAGAGAGTGGAAGTGTGTGAATAACTAGAGGCTGGATCTGACATAAATGACACTTGTGTGCTAACATTATACGATAGCAACTAGGACAGAGAACTGCAACATTAAGAGAGGATTTAAATATTCTTTTATTCCCCAAAGAACATTAGGAAAATACATACAATGGGAAAGTTTCTAAATTACCAACATTCCTGGGGATGGGGGACTAGTTTACCCTTTCTAATATAGTTCTCATGTATGAAGTTTTCAATGAGGATAAAGGTATTTGGATAGTATTCTGGGTAAAATCTCACTTCCTGTGGAGAGTCTAGAGCAGTGATTCTCAACCTCCCTAATGTTGTGATTATTCACTACATTTTCTCATGTTGTGGTGGCCCTCCCCCCAACCATAGGATTATTTTCATTGCTACTTCTTAACTGTAATTTTGCTACTGTATCAATCATAATGTAAACATATGCTACTCCCAAGACACTTAGCTGACCCCTGTGAAAGGGTCATTTGACCCCTGGGGTCATGAACCACAGGATGAAAACCACTCACTGGTCTAGAGTTGGATCATCAACATTTTCTAATTCTTCACTGTCAGGAATTCTCCCCTGTATGCTCACATGTGCCATTGCATGGGGTGGGGGTGGGGCACATTTGCATCATAGCTCACTTGTCTAAGGCCTATTTCTGCTAAAAAAAAAAAGTTACAGGTAAGGAAACCAAAGCATCAGTCTGTAAGTTTGCTTAACCAAGATCATACAGCTGAAAATGGGGAAGCTGAGATTCCTGCCCAAGAGCTCCCCTCACCTCCTCTTGACTGCTTCTATCGCATTATAATAGTGAATGTAAGATAGAGGTGACGCCCGCAGCCCCAGTCCTTCTACTAGAGTCCACTTGTTTCTTCAATCACAGTGAACCCATTGAGACCGCGGATAGTGGTTTTCTTTTCTGTCTTGTTTTCATCCCCTTTATTCCTAGCACTGAGAATCATGAAAACATAATAGTAGGCATTCATCATTTTTTAAAATGGTATCTCAAGCCAGATCATGACTGAACATATGCAAGTAAAGAGATTAACAAGAGTGCCTTCAAATCCCTTGGTTCTATTTTAGTCTCTATGGGTTTAGAAAGGGTGAACCCCAGACAGCCGAAAATGACACACACTGTTCCCAAGTGAAACATCCATTGTCAGCTTGCTTCTTTACTGTCTGATGTCTCTGTCTACTGCTTCCTGGAACTGGTCTTCCATGTGTTTCCATCCCATCCCTCTAGGGTTTTAGTTGTGAAGTTTCATTCCAAAGGAATGGCAAACACCTTGTTGCACTTCAGTCTTTTCTGATCAGTAAAGCTAAGTGCAAATTGATTCCACATATGTGTCCTGATGGGAAGAACAATGCTCTTTGTAAAGGCTGTGAGAAGTTTTCTGGCTATTGATGCAAGGTGTAGGAGACATCCTAAATTCTCCATTGTTTTGCTAATATTGTATTTAGATGAAGATCACTGCATAGCAGGTTCTCTCATGTTTTGTTTTGATGTGTACCCAATCAATATGGAATCGGAACCTACTTTTTAATAAGCAAAGTTTATAAGAATTAAATTATAACAGTATGATATAACAGCATACATAAAAACATTGATTAAAAATGTAAAGGGCTGTTCCAGCTCCATGTTTCACCATCTTATTCTGAGTTGCCCAAAGAAGAGATAATTTCTTAGATTGCACAGTATTTTTAGAACTCTCACTCTGATAGATTTAGCCTTTGTGGATATTTCTTTATACTTTAAATCCTGTACTAATTTAGTTTCAGGTCATATACCAAAGGTTAGACTACACGCAGCTGAAAGCACTGTCAGCATTAGCATA